AAAACGTAAATCCGCAATTTTCCCGCCAAAAACGTAAATCCGTGATTTTCCCGCCAAAATTTTTTATAATTTTTAACCAAAAACAAAAATATGTAATTTTCCCGCCAAAAACGTAAATCCGTGATTTTCCCGCCAAAAACGTAAATCCGTGATTTCCCGCCAAATTTTTTAATAGTTTTTAGCCAAAAATGAGAATGTAAAATTTTCCCGCCAAAAACGTAAATCCGTGATTTTCCCGCCAAAAACGTAAATCCGTGATTTTCCCGCCAAAATTTTTTATAATTTTTAACCAAAAATGAGAAAGTAAAATTTTCCCGCCAAAACGTAAATCCGTAATTTTCCCGCCAAAAACGTAAATCCGTGATTTTCCCGCCAAATAATAGTTACGTTGATTATTATTATTATTATTATTATTATTTTTATTATATTTTAATTAATAATTTATTTATTACATTAATAGGTTAATGAGTCAACCCATTTAACCTTCTAACCCATCAAATTAAATGAGTTGATGGGTTGTTACGAATCAACTCATTTTACTAAATTTTACTAAATTTTACTAAATTTATTACATTAAACGTTGATTAACATTTTACTAAATTTATGAGTCAACCCATCAACTCATTTAACTCTAAACTCATTGGGTAATGAGTTGAGTTGAGTTGGGTTAACCATTTTGACACCCCTACTTATGACACAATAGCAACCATAAGTCATTTTTTGGAGTTTGAAACTGAAAAGTAGGTTAGAAAAAAATCTTAGATTGAAATATAATATAAGTTAGATTGATGTAAAAAAAATATTATATAGTTATAGTATCTATAACCTAAACTCATATCAGTTGGTTGAAATATTTGAAATAATAATGATTTTAATAGTATTTTAAAATTCGTAACAATCAAACGGTCGGACCAAGATCAAACTGAATCGAATTAATGGTCAGGTAGATTTTTATTAAACTTGTGAACATTAAACTTGTAAACTATCAAACCGTAGATAAAACCGTTAAAATGATTAAATACGTTTGCGAGAAATAGAAATATTTAGAGATAGGCGTAATTCCCATTTAATTTTATCATGTTCCATTATATCTTACCCGTTCTCCAATTTATATCTCATAAGAGAATGCATTTCTGATATAAGACAAATTTTGTATTCCCGATTAGAAACAGGACGTGACGGAAACAAAAATTCTCGATATCTTGTTTGGGACAAACACAAATATAATTCATTGTATATTTTATATGATGATATAATAAAAATATTACAAAATTAATTGACTTCTTTATTCTTATTTTTTTATATTTTGTTCATAAATATTAAATTACATGTGTTTGTTTTTTAAATTTTAACTATTATAGAACATACTATAATAACATTTATTATTTTAAACATTTTTATGCTATAAAAATTGAAAACACATGTTACATATTTGATTGCAAACGTTAATTTGTTTGAATTGTAACTTGTTCTAGTCTAAAATCTATGTTTTTATCCCGTCCTGTCTCCTTCCATGTCGTTCCTGTTTCGTAATTCCTATTCTCGTTATATTACAGTAAATATTATTTTCCGAGTTCATTTTTGCTTATCTTTAAACACCATACAATATACGGTTGTAAGTTTTGGGGATTAACATATGTTCTGTTAAAATTTGTAAACATACCGTAAATTAAAACATGAAAACAAATTGAAAAAATAAATGATCTATCAACTAATCTTAACAAAATCATAAAACTAAGAGATAGTTTAATGTGAATAAATTTTGAGAATCATTTTGAATTAATTGTAAAAACTGTGTAAATTAAAAAGTAGCTTGTAATTAGTTAAATTAGTCATCTTGATTTAAATTCAATAGTTCCTTAAATTTAATATTTCTCATTTTGAAATATTTGCATTATAAATTAAAACATTTGTATTTAAATTTATTTTAATGTTATTTGAAAAAGAAATAATCAATTCTAGAAGAATGTGTATTCCAAAATCTTGTAACAATTTGATACAAATAATATAATTTATTTGATTTGAAATTGAATAATTTATTTGGAGATATAGTAACTATTATAGTACGTTTTAAAAATATATTAAAAATTTCGGTTAGTTATATATATTTAAAATACTGAAAACTACCCATTTTTAAAAAAATATATTCTAAAATTTTATATCATTTAAACTCTAATTAAATGTTAAATATTTTAATCTATCTTGGAAATATTTTCTAGATATTTACAAATTTAGAATCCAAAAAATTACTTATTGAATAAGCTGTATTTTAAAGGATGGAAGTAGTTTGTTTAGATTATATACGACAAATATAATAAATGTTTTTTCATATTTGGAAAATCAAAATTGAAAACTCTTTTTTCCATGTGTACCAATCAGAATTAATTAGCATATTATTGTTAAGGAAATTTTTAAAAATCTAAACGAAATGATAATTTGTTATTAAGATTAGATTGCCATTTTCGAAAATATCTAATAATATCGTACGAAAATAATTTAGTTTACATATATGCAATTTCGAATTAAATATACACAATTACCCGTTTCGGTTTATTAATTTTCCTTCTTCAAATTTAAAAATATCAATGGCATTCTTTGTAATTATTTACCTTTTATAAGGTTATATTTTATCCAATGCTTCCCAATTAATAATATAAATCTACACTATTAATATCATAAACTTTTATAGATTGGTAACATCGTTGATAAATATTTTTCGTTGCAAAATTGATAATATCGTTGATAAATATTTATAATTTTAGTATTTACCAACCTACAAATATTTAATTTTATTTAAAAACATATTATTTCTATTATTAATTTAGTTTAGTTGCTAATAATTTAGTTTAGATTTTATTGTTAAAATATTTTGTATTTTTCAATTAATGACATTCGATTATGTTGAATTTTTTTGTTTTATCTCTAACAAATTGAAAGATACAAAATATTTCGATTTATATTCGAAATAAATATATTAATGCTGAATATTCAGTTATTATTCAGTTATTATTTAATATTTAATGTTGTTTCCTTTTTTGTTTTTGTAGACAAATCATACCAAAAATATTGACAAACCAAATCTCGGAATATATTGGATAATTTAATCTCGTTATTTGTTTTTGCAAAAAAATTAATAGATCCGAATCAAATATATTTATTTAATTGTAGTAGTTGTTTATTTACTAAATTACCCATGTAAAAATTCATTTAGTTAGTCTTAAACTACCCTCACAATGTTGTAGTTCACAAAATGCTTCCCAATTAATAGTATAGATATAATCCACGCTACATAATGTTTTTTTAATACTTGTAAAATCGTAAGAAGTAATAGTCTAATATTTGCTTATACTATTTAAATATAAAAAACTAACTATAAACTATTATATGTTTATATTAATTTGTGGTATTTTACTGTGTTAATGTTTTATTTTCAGACTTATAATTTTCTATTCTCCTATATCTTAATGTTTTTAGTTTCATTTAAAATAATATACTCTTTTCTATTGATGATATGATATTTACTTTTAAATATTGTTTTATATCTTAAATTATATCTATGATTTCTGCTATATTCTTGGATCAAATAACTTTCACAACATATCGGGTTCAAACCCACTTATTACATATGTAATGTTATCGACCAAATACTAATAATAAAAACATTAAACATGAGTTATTTTTAAGAGACAAGTTTAACTTTCTAAGCTCAACTTTAAAAATTCACATCTTACTTTACTACAAATTTTCATAAATGCACATAAATAATGTGATAAATTTTGTTCGCATCTACGTAATGGTACATATACTTTATTTTCCATTAATTATATAGTTAGAAAGACATTTTCATCTTTTTGTGTTAAGTCTGAAACCAAAGTACACATCCTGCTGCTTTTTTAACTTTACTTTACAATATATATTTCTATAGTATCTTATTTTTTTAAAAAAAATCCGTTTAGCATAGATTTTCGGAATATGTTACTGTAACAATGCTGATAAAAAAAAATTTGAATTTTGGTGAACAAAAATGGGAGCAATTCAATCAATAAGGGCAAATGAAACATCATTCTCTGAAATCTACGTAAGAGTTGATAATTAGTTGATACATTGAGACATCGTGTTATCAGAGTTTACTGAAAAAAAATCAGAAACAGACGGTACATAAAAAAAATAAACTTCATCACCTACTAGATTTGACGTAAACAAAAAAGATTTTTTTGCAACTGTGTTCTCGATATTAAACTTTTAACCGGAGTCAGCGGTTCCGCCTTAAATCCACGCCGAAACCAGATCAAACCTAGAGTTTTCTTCTCGAAAAAGGGAGATCCGCCACAAGTCATACCCCATCTCTCAACCCCCTACCTAGCAAGAAAAGAGAACAAGATACGAACCCTCACCTCCGATGCCGCTCACCCTCGAACCTCGCCCTAGACTAACTAGACTCCAGATCCGATGAAAAGAATTCCAATCACGGCGACGGAGATGGACAATGGCTCAAACATACCACCAACAGTCGAAATCCGAAACTAGTCATGTAGGATCCAGTCGGTTCTGCCGCTAATCTTTTCACACGCAGTAAAAATAAGTCACCCACTTGCATCGTGCTTCAGATCTACCACGTTTCATGACCACTGGAAAGCCACCGCTTCACTGAACGATCCACCCAATGGCGATAAAAACTTTTATACAAAAACAACGGAAAAATCTAAATCTATTTTTCAGAAGAGAGAGAAGAGAGAAAAGGAACGATTGTCCTTAATTTTTTCCCATTTGTTATTTTAGCACAAATAATTTCAAAATTCAAATGTTTGATTGAACTCACACTAGACACTCTCCCTAGTCTTCTCACTTTTAAATTTGAGACTTGATTATATATATCTTGCAAATTTTAATTAATTGAAAATTTAGACATTTAGTTTCTATAGTTGGAAGTCAATCTTGAAAGAAAAAAAGAATAGAGGGCTCTCTTGTAAATTTCTTAAAAGTAAAACACTATACGATTGTTTGCTAAAAATACCCTAAAAATCGAAAATCTCTAGAGCAAGAAAAAGCAGAGAAAACTCAAAAACCTTTCACTTACCTCACTCTTCTTCGTCATGGCGAGCAATCCTTCGCAGCTTCTTCCATCAGGTATGCAATTTCTCTATACATGTATCACTTTTTTGCCTTTTCTATGGAAGAAAATCGAACCGGATCTGCGATTTTGGTTTTCAATTTCTTGAGGTATTTGGTGTGTTGTTGTGCAGAGCTAATCGATAGATGCATAGGATCGAAGATATGGGTGATTATGAAAGGAGATAAGGAGCTTGTTGGTGTTCTTAAAGGCTTCGATGTTTATGTCAACATGGTTCTTGAAGATGTCACCGAATAGTAAGTCTGAATTTAGGGTTTCTGCTTTGGAATTCGATTTTTGCTTGATGGTTTTTTTTTTGTGTCTTTTTTTTGTGGGAACATATATCACTTTAGGAGGTAATTGATTGCAATAGGTCAATTTCAAGTTTCGATACTGATCTCAAGAATGACGTTGAACCGCAGTGTGATTTGTGAATGTCTATCACAGTTCATGGCTTCGCTGATGAATGACGTTTACTGTGTATATAGAGTGATAGAGTCTATTTAGACGGGATCGTATGCGGGTTTGGTGACATGAGTTTATTTGTGGTTGTGTGCGGATTAGTTAATTGATGCTTTAAACCTGTGTTGCTTTGGAGTTAGGATCTCATAGATTTAAGTTTTGGTTGTAACAGATTCTCGATTGAAATGTAACTAGAGTGTGTTACTAATTTAAGCATCGTTGTGCAGTGAGATTACAGCAGAAGGAAGACGGGTTACAAAGCTTGATCAGATTCTGCTCAATGGCAACAACATAGCAATTGTAAGTCAAAACACACTTTTTATCTATATTTTCGGAAGATGCAACACAACAGATATCTTTATCGGTTACTCATTGGAACAGTAGCAATACGTTGTATAAACTTCCTTGTGATTACTTTTCAAGTATCTTGATATAAACAATCGATCATTTGAATAGTCAAATTGCTAAGATACCGGTATTGAAAATGTTTGTGATGCAGTTGGTGCCTGGTGGGTCTCCCGAAGATGCAGAATGAGGTTTGCGAGGGATGATTGGTATGTTAAGACAGACTTGTGTGAGGAAGGATGTAACTTTTGGTTTTAGATTAACTCTTTGTTCGGAGAAAAGTAGTAGTTGATTTTTAAACTCAAAATGACAAAGTTTTCATTATTCAACAATGTGAAAGAGCTAAAACATTACATTTTTGTAAGACTCAAATGTATCATTACTTCTACTTATTCAAGCTCTCTACGCTGTTCTAATGACCATCTCCATTAGCCACTCGAGCGTTGGACAAGTTATCAACAGAGTCTCCCCTCTCAAAAACAGCTGCAGCTCCCATTCCAGTGCCTGTTCCAATCACATTTTACATATAATATTAACATAGGTAATCCATTGAACCGATTCAATCTCGAAAAAACAATCTCATATATACCTATGCACATTGAGATTACTCCAAAGCGGCAATCTTTTCCTCTCCGCTTCATCTCATGCAACAATGTCGCAACACATCGAGCTCCTGAACAAAGAGACTGCTCTATTAGCATGTAAGACATGTTGCATATTATTTGTTAAGCAAAGCTAGTGTAAATAGTGACCTGTAGCACCCAGAGGATGACCAATAGCAATGGCTCCTCCATTAACATTGACCTTTTCCATATCTAGCTCTAGCTTTTTGCAACAGTACACATACTGAGATGCAAATGCCTGTTTAAAAATTTATCACATAAGTATGTTTTATTCTGAATTAGAAAAACACCAATGTGAAAAACATTTTACTACCTCATTGATCTCGAATAGATCAATATCGCTGACGTTGAGGCCTGCAATTTTAGTTGCAGCGGGAATGGCAACAGCCGGACCGATACCCATTACAGATGGATCAACACCAGTAACAGCAAAACTCCTGCATTGTTCTGGGATCAGATTGCTCTGTTTCTTTAACCGTCAAAATGTTGACATAGTCTCTCCATATTCATCTTACCTGAATACTCCAAGAATGGGAAGTCCCTTCTTCATTGCCAAAATTCTCTTCATTAGCAGTACAGCTCCAGCACCATCACTGATCTGGCTAGCATTACCTACACAATTCACACATAAATGCTTCAATCCATGATCCAACTTATGTCAATGAAAGTTTAGAAAGTTGTATTTCTCACCAGCTGTGGTGGAACCGTTCTGTTTAAAGACGGTCTTCAGCTTTGCCAGGTCGGCCATGTTTGAGTTTGGACGTACACCGTCATCAACAGATACAACGATTGCCTTCTCTGCTTTAGTCTCAGGGTCCACGATCTGTCAAGAACAATATCGTTTACTGAGAAAGCTCTACCAAAAGGGGTTTAAAAGGAAGTTTTGGAGCTTCTTGTTTTTACCTTAGTAGCAACAGGAATTATTTCATCCTTGAGTTTACCAGACGCGATTGCAGCTGCAGCGCGTTTGTGAGACTCAACCTGGTGATTACTGAATCAGTACTTATATGATTTAGAGAGAAAAAAGTGAAGAGAATTCAACTAACTAACTAACCGCAGCCATATCTTGCTCTTCCCTTGTTACACCGAATCTTTCTGCAACGTTTTCAGAAGTAATTCCCATTGGAAGCAAACAATCACGGGCTTTCGGGAAGTCTTGTGCCTATTCCCATTTAGAGTTTACAAAATCATCACAAAACTCTCATAGTTGAGTAACTTTATACATTCTTTGAGATAACCTACTCTTGGATTAGAGGCATGAAAGCCGCCTCCAGGAATATGATCAGTTGACATTGATTCAACTCCAGCACCAATACCTGTCCAATTCACAAAGTTGAGAGAATCAATCACGCAGCCTAGACAAGCAGCTAGAGACTACAAAAATCTGATGAAGCTGCGTGACAGCGTCTTACCAATGTCATAATAACCAGCTCTAATGGAAGCAGCAACATCAGCAACTGCTTGTAGTCCTGATGAGCATTGTCTATTGACAGTTCTAACTGGCACGGTGTCTAGCTCGTAATAGAGAAAGACGAAGCAACATATCAACAACTTGTTTCTTGTGAGATATTATTAGGTTTATCTTGAATGAGATTTAGTACCAGGAAAACCAGCAAAATAAGCTGCAACTCTACATTCCATAGCTCTCTGAGAACCGGGCGCTATAACGGTACCAACAACGATATCTCCAACTTCACTTGGATCCAAAGATGTTCTTTCCACTACAGCCTAAGTAGAACAAACCATTAAACATAAGAAATCATTGATACTACTACTCCATGTCTGAGTCTGAGCAAGGTTTAATTGATGACTTACCTTAAGAACAGAAGCTAGAAGATCATCAGGAAGAGTGTCTTTGAAACCTCCACGTCTCGCTTTGCAAATGGCGGTACGATATGCCCTGAAGAAGAAGAAGAAGAATCAAGAAACAAGAAAATCTAAAGAAAGTGAAAGTGAAGCAAACTCAATGACTTACGCTACAATCACAATGTCATCTCCAAAAGCAGCCATTGGGGAAACCTCAGAAGCACAATTCACTGGCTAAAAATAACAAAAACATAAAAAGAGATTCAAGTGAGTCACACAACAAAACAAAGTTAAAGATCATCATCTTCCACAAACATTCTCATATGTCTAATAAAACTCTATGACTCACGGATTAGGACAACTAAACTTACAGACAGAAGAGAAGAAGAATTAGAAGAAATTGGATTGAGATGACGAAGTAAAATCTTTTGTCTTTCAACAGCTTTTTCCATGATTCTCACTGTTCAAACACTTTGTGTTGCAGCTGAATTTCTAATGGTGATTGAAAGACAAAAACTTTCCGGGAAAACTGAACTAGGTTTGGTTGATTTTTCTGGAAAAGGGAAGACTTTAAGTATAAGAAGCTTCAAGGTCCTCATTTTTCTCGTGAGTGAGATTTTTTGATCCATCGTTCTCACAAGTCTGGTCTGATTGGTCTCGTTGCCAAAACCTTGTCTTGTCGTTTTTGTTAACAAAGTTAACGGCGTTACGAAAATATCGCATCTTTTTCATGTTTTGCTCCACAGAAACTTAACGCCGTCAAGAATGTGATCGGAAATTAGTCGTTGGCAACTATAACCAAACCGGGCCATGTGGGAAGAATCTAACTTATAAGCAACAAATGTTTCTTTTCATTTTGGGTAATATTGATGATTTGATAATTTGAGTACTTTTACAAATTTAATAAGATTTTTGATAATTTTTTAAATTTTAGTTAATAATTTGGATATCCAGATAATTTACATGATTTACCCATAAGAATAATTCATATCGGATATAGATTTAAGTTGATTAAACTTGGGGAATGTTTTGTTTAATAGGAAAAAGTTTTAGTATCCTTTCATGATTTTGTAAAATTTCCAAGTAAAAAAAAAATAGTTTTTGCGACTAGAATATACCATCTAATAAATCAATTTTGAAAGACTAAAACAGATTTTTTAGATAAGTAAAGTCTTTAAGACTCGTAAAAGATAAGATGGAGAGAGGTCAAGAAAGTTACCCGAGGATGTTAGAACTTAGGTATGAGTTCCAATAGATTTGATAAATGTAGACAATATGCAAATGTTGAGATAACCGATTGTTCAAGATTATATATACAAAAAGAGTGTTGAGAGTTAGATGAGGAGTGAAAGAAGTGACGTTACATTTGGCATTTAACTCTTTTGAGTTTTGACATACTCTTTTGCTTCTCCACCACTCTTCTTACCAACCTCCTTACTTATCTTTCATCGTTTTATGCTACCTAACCTTCCATTCTTGTTAGATTTCTTGCAAACCTAATTTATTTTGTTTTTTTATTGAGTATCTATCTATTACAAAGAAAAGTTTCATTAAAACAAGAATAATTGTAAGGTCTCTAGTCTCACTTGGACCCTAACACAATTTCATAATAATTGTAAGGTCTCTAGTCTCACTTGGACCCTAACACAATCTCATTGTTATGCATAGATTTTCTATATCTCAAAATATGGAATAGAGCATAGGAGCATAGCTGATTTCAAAGCCAAAAACGTTTTCTTCTTCATATTGATTCGAGAGATTGAATGTCAAACAAGGAAAAGTCAAATTTCGTAGTTGTTTAAGATTCATTGTAACTATGGATGTTACCGTGGATAAAAAATCATGGTCCAACCCTAATTTAAATTGAACCCGTCCACGGAAAGGCTGAACTTGAAAAATCTAAGGGTTTCAGGTAATAGTGGATAAATTGTTACAATCACAAACGTAACAATCAAACTTTGGATTTTTTCGAATATCTCCTATTTATTCCTTAGATTGGAATTTTTATTCAATTGAAAAATAAGTCAATTTTTTCTGGTTCTAAGGCTAATAGTTCTCCTTACCAAAAAAAAAAAAAAGCTAATAGTTCTAGGGATCGGCTCACTTCTTTCAAATTGTAGATGAATATAAAAATAGATAAAACGATAAAGTACAAGTTTGTTTTATAGCAATAGTCATTAGTTATTGTTGTTTCAAAGTCACTCTATTTATCTGTCTAGATAATATTTTACCTTGTTCACTAATGAATCAATTAATTAAAATCATGTTTGTATAACTAATAAGATCTCCTAATTGGATCGGGGACAAACACCTATAAAAGAATCGCTTGGATTTAGGAAAAAGTTGCTTAGATTTATTCAATCGTGTCTCTAAAATCTTACTATGAACGGATCAAAATAAAAATGATTTATATTTCTATATAGGATAGAGTTTACATATACAGTTAAGAACGTAGGATTCGATTTATATCTATTGATTTATTGTTTATATTTATATGTATGTAATAATATATATTCCTCTCTTCCTAAAAGAAGAATTTTCTAGATTTTTCACATATATTAAAAAGCAAACATTGTCTAATTATTTCAACATCTTTATTTTTATTTTTAACAACTTCGACATTATTTTTTTTTGTATTAAATATTTTCCAATAACTATGAACTAATAGTAGTTTAATAAATAAAATTAGGTTCAACCATTGAGTTTTGCGATTTATTAATGTCAATCAATAAAATAAAGAGCAAAATTAGAAAATCAATCTTTGTGGAATAAAATAAAAGAAGTTAAATCATCAATCATTTAGGAACATATGAAGTAGATACTAGCATTATTCATTTTCTTAAGATACAAGCACTCAATTTTATATATTTCTTGATTCCCTGTGAATTAGGGACATAATTTTCTCAAATCCAATAACTAGGGATATTATGCTGATTCTTTTGAGTTTAGTATATTGGAAATTTCCACAGATTTTTTAAAGAAAATTCTGAACAAAACTAGAACATTCCAAAATAATTGTTACCGGAACATCTTACCATTGGCCATGAAAACCTCCTTCGAATTTATGGATTTCTTATATGAATTTGGAAGGAAAATGATAGTTTGGAAGGCTCAAAAACAACTTTTTAAACTTACTTGTATTATTGTTGATGATTTAGCAAAAGAACAAGCTATAAAACTTAAAAAGGAGTAGAAAAAGAGCCTACTTACTGGATTAACTAAAGTGTCTGGTAGATACACAGATGGCAAGTTCGCAGAATTGATGAGATTTATTAAAAATGTACTTTCTCACAAAGGAGAGGAACAAAACGTTTGAGCCTCTTGTCCAGTTCCAAGCCCAGATCTTTGCGGTGTTCCTCGAGCCTCATGTTGGCTGCTTCTTGCACGAGTCTCCTCATGTGGAGACTCCTCAGTTCTCTGAGGATTTTTTTGAGATTCCCCTTGGGTGTTTCTTAGATTATGAAGAGCGTTTCTAACATGTGTAACTTTATCAGTTTTAGATGTAACATGTGTAACGCGCAGGTTTGTAGGGTTGTGTTATATTATTCAAAATATAGAAGTAGTAGATAGATTTTCTCCTAATGTTGAAATGGTTTTATATGTCAGCTTATTCCTAAGCTTAATTTTCTTGAAATCTTTGACAGAATCTTTCCGAATTTATTCATTGAAATGTACAAAATGGTGGTTAAAGATTTCAGAGGAGAGGCGGAATTCACCAAATTCTTGTGAGGTAAATGATGTTCCTCTTTTATTTTTAATCTCATTTCATTTCTTTCTTGGGTGCTTATACGGTTTTGGCAGAGAAATGCATAAGGTTTGTGGCATATTATATTCTCTTTGAATTAATAGAATGGTTTAGAATTTTATTGCGTACCAACTTTGTTTTGTTTTGCTTTTGCTTTTGTTGTTGCCAAAACAAAAGTCCTCAGCTTTTATTTTGTTTTGATTTTGTTTTGATTTTGTTTTTGTTATTGCAAAAGAAGATTTCATGTAGCTCACACTATATTATTTGTATTAAGTTAATTCTCTTGTACTGCTTTTGTATATATTTGAGATTGATGAAAAAGTATATTAAAATTAAATGTCCATGAAGAAAAAAAAAAAAAATAACTTGCGTTAGTTGTTTTTTATTTGTAAGGCGAGTGGGTTGTCTCCCAATCTTATAAGCATTGAATATCACACACGCAGTTTTGGAATTTGTTGCTAAGTAGAGAGCGTTGATCAGTACCTGACAATCAACTCGAATCACATGTGGAGCCAAATAAACAGTGTCAAACTGGATCCCAAGTTCAGATGAGAAACTATCCACCGGAGACAAAGTCCTATATTTCACAAAACTCAAATACATCATTACTGAAATAACCAAGTGACTTCCAAAAGAATGACATCATTCTTGGCAGAAGTAAGAGGATGGTGCTTATCTAGTAATAATATACTCTTTATGTTTACAAAAAATGTTATTCTAGAATTTTATTTTTGTTTTACAGAGAATGTCTACTATATTTTCAATGTGATTTTAAATCATTTTACACTAAATTTTTTAGTTTACCTTTAACACAAAACTATTTTTATTGAATATAAATTATTAATTACTTATTAAATATATATATATATATATATGTATAATTTAAAGTTTTTTTAATTTGTGTAAAATGTGCCAAAATGACTATTTTTGTAAAAGAGATCGAGTAAAATACAAATGCAAGCTAAACGGGCCGCCACAAATCCATAAACGTAAAACTAATTTAAATTGGCTTACTTACATTTTTGGTATAGTGAACATAAGAAGTATCCAACTATGAGGAGACAAGTTGCAAGAGAATGTGGGCGGTGTGATCAGTCAGGAGTCAGGACCCATCACAATCTTTATGACTACCCATTTGCTTCTCAAGTTGTGGACTCTTCTGCTTCTATTATTTGTTTAAACAAAATATTGATTTCGACTCAACACAACTTTTCATTAACCAAACATTAGTTCATATATGGTTTTATCAACGTCAACAAACTATTGAATCTAGGCACTAATGAATCAAGTGGAGGGCCATAATTCGTAAACGAAAGAAGTTCTCTTCCTATTCGATCGGCCACACTATTCCTTCACGCAATTTAAACACAGTCTTGAAGTCTGATTTTTCGGTTTTAAAAATATATCATTATATAATTTGAGCATAATTTTTAGTAAAAACATACTTAGTGTTTTCTGTAACTTAAATTATTAAAAATTATAAATAAAAAAAAATAGAATTACAAGAATCAACTTATATTTATAAAAATATGGTGTTTAAATATGTGCTCGAAGAAGTTAATCTTGTGAAGCTATTTCTTGTTGTGCCAAAATGAAAGAAAGGTAATAGTCAAAGTTCACTAAAGGAGTGGAATTTGAGAGGAGATTATAATTAAGCCAATAGCAAATAGAGTTTCATTTAGAGAAGATGCAAAACCCAAAAATGCTAATCTCAAGATATGAAAATATAAAGAAGTTCCATTTCCCAATTCAAACTTCTCTTTCTTTCTCACCAATCAATCTCCTTTTGATTAACATGCACTACCTTTTTACTCATCCTCTTCTCTCTCTTTATCTCTGACTCTCTCTTATCTCCACTGTTCCCAAGCCCATACGGGCAAAAGAACCTGCTCCCAAAGTTGGCTCTGCAACAGAACAGAACACTTAATAGTTACACTAATGAATCCACTCACACAGATTCTTCACAGTTTCCAACTCTCCTCAAACACCATCTTAAACTTGACTTCTCTTCTACTTATCATCTTCACACTAGCCTTTTTAAACTCATCCCCTCAAGCCAGAACCACACACATTCGCTCTCTCTTGGTCTTTAGCTCAAGGTATAGATATTTTAGGGTCGGTGGCTCTCCAAGTTGTTTTGCACACTTATTGGAAGTTAATCTAATGCTTAGTTACTTTTATTTTGTGTGTAGATAATATAGAATGGAAGATCATTACCATCAAGTAGAAGTGGAGGGAGAAGAAGAGATCAAGCCACCCAAAGAAGCCAACAAGACAGACGAAGACACATCATCATCGAGAATATTCCCCTGCCTCTTTTGTTCTAGAAAGTTCCATAGCTCCCAAGCCCTAGGAGGCCACCAGAACGCCCACAAGAAGGAGAGAACCGCTGCTAGAAGAGCGAAAAGGGCTTACGATTTCATCAACAACAATGACTTGCTTCACACGTTACCTGTTTTCTTATCCTCTCCTTCTCGACATCACTTGACCATCTTAGGCTACCCTGCTTCTGCCTCCGTTGCCTGTTTTCCAGCGGTTCATCCTGACCATCCGATCTTCAGATCCAGTGGTTCTCATGTCGTGTTGGCCACATCCCACCAAGGTAGAGATTGCAAAGGAGGGTATTTTGGTCAACAACATGTTGACATTTTGGATCATCACTATAATGTGGTGAATAGTGACAAGGGTAAAGATCAGTGTCTTGATCTCTCCCTCCATTTGTGATCTTAGCGTTAATCGTTTGTTAGTTCTGGCCTTGCTAAAACTGACTAAATGTTCCATCAATATCCTGATTGTAATTGGTATTCCAAGAAACAATGGACGACATATAGGGATTAAACTATTAGTAATTCTCTTACGTTTTTTTGTTTGTTTATCATTCTTGAAATTTAGCAATCTTTTGGACTTCGTACATTGAGCTTTATGGTGATCAATCTTTTGGACTTCGTACATTGAACTTTATGGTGATTATTTCTCTTGATATACATCTTAGCTTCAGTAAATTATGAGATTTTTGCATGGACGATAAGACCAAACGGCCGCTTCTCCATTGAAATTATGAATATTTGTCACCACTAGTACTTAAAGCTTTCACATTATTCATTTCTCTCTTGAAACCATTAGTTGTATGAAGATGAATGCATAACATTAACAACATTAAACACTAGAGTTTCTGTTATACAAAAGTTAGAAACAACAAAATCAATTTAAAGCCAAAATCATTACAAAATTCGAAAGCAAGAATCCAATAATCCCAATAAAGAGACGTAAATCTAACATGAGTGATTACTGTGCTGCGGTGACAAAAGACTTTATTTGGCCAATATTTTTTTTTTGGATGAATCAAATTAACGTAAATGTTTGTGTGGTATATAGTAGAATAAATATATCTGCTATTTATATCAAAATAGTAAATTGTACCCTAATCCATGTGTTTTTTTTTTTTTGGCATCATCGTTGATTGATTCAGTTCAAAATAAGTAATTTGGTGGAATGTTATCTATATAAGTGAAAATATGGGTCCGTAAGATTTTTTCGTGCTATATTATCCTCTTTAACTTTTGCACTAAGACAATCTATGTTTTTATTTGCAACACAATAATAATAATTAGAAACAAATTAAAAAAAAATGTTACATGAGTAGTTGAGTCAGACCATTAAGATTCAATTTAACAAATGAATCAATTAAACGTTTATTTTAGAAATACAATTTTACTGAGACCATTATGAGGTTTAATTGCATGATGTTTAATCCCAATTTTCTTTCTCTCATGTATCACTTTTGTCATTTTTTTTTTGTGATCACTTATTTTAGAATGAACAAAAAATATAAAATTATTTTAGGGAAAGTACATGTCACCAAATCTTAAAATTAATTTGATTTTAAAATTTTAGTGAAAAAAAAAGATATAACAAATGTGTCTAATTTAAAGTCATCTTTTCCCTAAGTTTTACCTTATTTCACCATCATTTTAAAGTAAAAAATAACTTGGTGAAACATCTAATATATTTATCCAAATATGTAAACGAACACTTAAATCAATTTAGTTTTAATGAAAATAAAACAACGAAAAGATATTATATAAAATATGTCTATTTTTTCTGAACATTATTTGAAAAATTCAAGATAAGAATCTATTTTAATGTAATGAAATAGTAAAATAATATAATAATAGTGTATTAGTGTTGAAAAGAGAAAATACATGTCAAAAAACAGTAGTCACGTGTTAGCTAAACATATCATAAGTTTTAAAAAAGCCTTACTTTATTATATAAAATAATTATGGGAGAAACTAATTAATGTGCGCTGAACAAAAAATAATATATTGATGTGGACAATATAAGACCTACAATTTAATTACATTAGCTGTTAAATGTTTTATTTATTTATTTAATTTGTTATTTTCCTAAACTAATTTGTAAATTGCGACCGAATGAAAAATGGATCGAAGAACACTCACACATGACATGATCCGTTGTTGGCCAAACTCATTATTGTTGTCATTGAATATCTATGCATATTGTATAATATTGTTTCTCTTAATTAATGTTGATCAGTCTGAAAGCCTAATCACTGTCCAACATGTGAAAAATGATAAGACAACCGAATTAATATTGTGTGTACTTCTGGAAATAGGAGATTATTGATATTTTGTAAATTTCCAATTTTTGTAAGTAAATTAATTAGTGATATGGAATTTGATCGAATAAAAATAAAATACAACACAAAAAAAAAAAAAAACTAACAACTTCTTGACTTGGTTCAACAATTTTTTTTTTTTGCAACTACACTTTAATTAATAAATAACTCCTTGATTGGTTGCCCAATTAGGAGGAGAAGAGTCTACAAAAGTAAATTCAGAAAATAAAAGTCTAGAATAACGGGTTAAATAGTCAGCTTTAACATTACATATACGAGAAATAAGAGAAAGCGAGAAAAAGGGAAAGTATACACACTGAGAAAACCAAACTCATCTAACAGATTGGAGAAAACGGGTCATTCTTCATGTGACTGTATCATCGAAAACTACACTAACAAAAAATCACTATCAATGTTAATTACTTAATGTGCTAATCTCCGTTAAATTTGGTAAGGATTGTGATAGTCTATAATAATGCATTTCATTGGTTTCTGCTAATATCCAATCACATAGTCCATTGTAGTTTACTAGTTTTCTTACAATATATTTGTTTAACTATAATATACAGTAGTGGTTAAGTCAAGTGGTTAAGTCCATTTGACTCCGCCTTTCTCACCGGAGTTCGACTCCACTAAGTCGCGTTACCCCGCGTAGTAGGGATTGACTATGGATCGGGCCTTGTCGATCCAAAGATGTCAAAAAAAAAAAAAAAAAAAACTATAATATATAGTAGTGACAAATTATAATATTATACAAACAAATGTAAATATATTTTGTCAATCTAAATTTTGTTTTATTCGTATATATTTTTTTTTAATATTAACATTGTTACCCATAATGTTTTAGCTGTAGATCATAACTTTTAACTTTTTTTTTTTTTTTTTTTGTCATCTGGTAGAAATTTTATTAAAGATCCGAAGAGCCATAATACAAACCATAACACAAAGTCGGCGACTAACAACGTAATCCCGAAAACTAAGCCGGCGGAAAACAAACATATCCCCGGAAACTAAGCCGGCGGTTAACAACACAACCCCGGAAACTATGCCCAAAGACATGAGAACCTTTTTAACTAACACCAAAAGGCAAAGCAAACCAAAACAAACAAAGGCAACAAAGACAGTAACTGAAGCATGGACAGCAAACAAAGGAAAATCGGAATCTAACCACACAACAACGTCAACCGCAAAGCCTAAAGAGAGGAGAGCCTTCCACGAATGTCACCGAAAGGGATGAAAATCCCAACTAACGGAGAGCGATTCCACCTATAGCGGATGAAGACTACCACACAAAGCAAGAGTTCTGAAGAAATCCGAACGGCGAGACGGGATCTAGGCCAAAAGACATCGTAGACCACAACAGAGCTCCCGAACACGGCGCAATCGAAGGATACCGATTATTCAACGCCTCGTAGATTCCAATAACGAACTGATGAGATCTCGATCAGATCTATAACGTAGAGACAAGGAGCGAACCCAAACAACCCGGACCATACCGAAATCACTAAAGATCGGCAAGAGATCGAACCAGGATGAACAAAGGCAATCTCTAGAAAAGCCAAAAGCGGATGAACGACGAGGAGGCAAGACCACAAAAGACCGATACCAATGGAGCTACCACAAACAGAAACATCTAACACAACCAAAGAGCAAACCCAAAAAATGGTCGGACAAGGAGGAAAAGGGCAACAAACCGCAAGAAACGATGAGACAAACCAAACCCGAGATCTCCCTTCAAAGTCAAAGCAGCCTTACCATGAGCAAGAGACTTTAGACAGAACCTCAACACCACCTCCTCACCTCATCACCGAGGCATCAAAGAGAGACAGCACAAGAGAAGAACAAAGAGACACAGATCTGGGTTAAAACCGGCGAAACCCAACCTCAACGCCTTCAGCACCACCCCTGGACTCCATGGCTGAGACCCAAGCTGTCCTTAAAGTCGCCGCCGAAACAAACAGAGAATTCAACAAGAGAGGAACCACCGATGAAAACAAAGAGCAACTTCGATGGCCCTAGCGCAGCAAACAAAGGCAAATAGAGAGCAAGAGGTAAAAAGAGAGGCTTAACTCCGGTGCTATGGAAGCCACCGGAGCCAAACGGAGCCGCCAAACCCTAGATCTAGATTTTAGAGAGAAGGGAGAGAGAAGGGAGAGAGGAGATTTTGGAAAGAAGTAATTGATAACTTTTAACTTTAATCACTTAACTTTCTTTATTTTATTTTAACTTTTTCTTATTTGGCATCAGTGTATAAGTAACTATATATTATATGTACAGTTATAAAAAACAGTAGCAAAATTTAACGTTTTCTTTAAACATATAGTAGAAAAATATAAACAAACGATGATGATTGGGTCTTCAAGACTAATATGAACGTACTTTGATTGGTTAGTTTAGATGATCTGCCACGTTGATCTAATCACCGGCGTGTTTTCCGGACATTCGACGCCGACGAACAGATATATTACATTAATCAAACATTGACGTGGAAACTTTTATGAGAAGAACGTGTCTGAATAAATAGCCGTCCGGGCACGTGACCCATCTGACCCACCACACGTGATAGAGAGAGTAGTAAAGGCCAGTAAGAATTTAAATTGGATAAGAGCAACCCCAATGATGTTTCTAGAGGGTTTCTTAACCGTATAATCCTTAAAAAAAAGCCAAAAAATAATTCAAAACTGACAATTAATCTAAGGAACGCACCTTAAATAAGAGTTTTTAGAGGTTGTAAGAGTCCATACGTGTCACTGTCTTATTAGGTTAAAATGTGAGAAAACAATTTTTTTTTCTTTCCCGTGTTTGTTTCGAAGCTCGACTCTCTCTTCTCACTTGTTTCATCCGATGGCGAAAGCAGATGAGATATGTCTCGATCATCATCATCCAAAGATCGGAAGAGAAAAGCCAAGCAACTCGTCTCTCATCCGCTGTGATCATCATCTCAACCAACGGTCCTCACCATCTTATTGATTGTAGAAATTGATTGCAATCTATATCCCGTCCTTTAATCATCTATTGATTGTAGAAATTGATTGGTTTCTTATGCTAATTGGTCTCTCACTTATATCTCTCATAGATTAAATCATTGACCAGTATTTCGTATGATTGAAATTGAAAGTCTGCACATTGATTTTAGGGGTTTTGTTTGATTTGATGATTTATATGGTGGAAAAAGAGAAGACTTTTTAATGGATGAGAAAATAGAGAGACTGAT